TCCCCACGCTTCACAGCCACGTGTCTGGAAAGTTTGGCGTTCTCACTTTCTGTCTTGAGCTTCAACCCCTGCAGTCTGACGTGATGATGCCTGTCCCCACGCCTCTGTTGAAATCACTCCTAAGTGCAGCGTGCAGCTAGCTCCATTGTCTGTATTAATTAGGGAAGGCTTCCAGCTGTAACAAGCAGACCTAAACATCCAATGATGCGGTGTGATAGAAGTTTATTTTCCCGCTCATGCAACTGTCCTGGACAGGTGTTCATGTGGGCAGATCAGCTCTTCTCTTTGCACATTCAGGAGCCCAGAGTCCCCACTGCCTGCTATCAGGCCCGCCCCCATACCTGGTGATAGCCCAGCCCCATCCCCTCGCCCTCCACGGGCTAGACCTCCATCACGTGGCCATACGGAGCTGCAAGGGAAGCCGGGACACGGGCTCTAGATGTGTGTCTGGGAACAAAAGGAAATGGATTTGGAAGAGCAGTGGGCGGTCCCAGCCCATCGTCCTCCCTCACGTGATCTCCTTCGGGCTTCCCTGCCACCATTCTTTCCTGCCTGGTTTTTCTCCGACCTTGCAAGGAACTCCACCTCAGTCTTTTTTGCAGACTCCTGATTGTCCCTGAGGCATCTTTGCTTTCCACCCTCTGCCTTCTATTGTAGATGACCTCATCTGCTCCCATGCTCTTAAAACACATTTGAATGCCAATTGCATCCACGTCTGTTTCTCTATATGGTCTTCGCTCCTGAACTCAAAGCTTATATTTACAACTACCGTGTGATGTCTCCACTTCAGCAGATCACAAGCTCTGACAGTGCACACACCTGACAAGCAGCTCTCCAGACCTTCCCCGAATCTGTTGTTCTCGCATCGTCGTCCATCTCAGTAAACAGCACCTAGCCCACCTGGTTGTTCTTTACAGAAATCCGGGAGTTATCTAAGTGTACCTCTTCCTCCCTTATTGCCAACTATATTTTGCACCAAGCCCTGTGGAGTCTACCTCTCCCGTATTTACTTCCATCATCATCTGTCACTAGTCCCAGTCTGATTGCTGCCTGATTGGTTTTGTGGAAACTACTTTACCATCTTCCATCTATTTTCCACTAAGCATTCCAGACACACTTGTATAAAATCCAAATCTAACCTCGTCAGTGTCCTGATTAAAACTCTTCGATAGCCTCCAATATCTCTCTTACCCATCTCTCCAAGCTCATCTCTCTCTTTCCTCCCCTTAATCACTTTCAGCCGCACTGGATCCCTGGTTCTTCCTGGCAGGCACAAGGCTGTGTAAACCTCAGGGCCTTTGCACTGCTTGGGCACAGGTCCATTCCTTGGTGAAAAATGCCTTCCCTCCTCTCCTACGAAGCCTGGCTCTCTCCATCTCAGTTTAACTGTCACTTGCTCAAAGAAATCTCCTTCTCTCCAGCCCTCCAAGGTTTGTAAAAAACCCTTATCATAACTTGTACTTTTTCTTCATGGCTCTTACCGGAAATGTAATGTGACGCGAGCATATTTTAAATGTCCCTGTCCCCTCCATCCCCTTCTCAGGAGTCCTTCCTACCTCCCTCTCCTCTAGCCCCGTTCCCAGCACAGTGCCAGGTACTTACTTATTCCTGTTTATGAAATAAATCCAACAAGGTCACCACCCCAGAGTTGAAGCTTAGCAGAGGACACACGCAGTGACTGCTTCCGTGTCCATGGTCTACGGCACTTTCAAGTAGGGTGGAACGGAGAGACCTCGAGGTTAGGCCCTGGGGTGAGCTTTGAGCTTACTGACCACTGATGAGTACAGCTATGAGAGACTTGGCTTCTCAGATGTCAGAAGGGGGCATTTAGAAGTGAGACGTTTGGATTCGTTAAACATAAAGACGGAACTTTTCTTCTGTTCACCCCAAATTTAACTGCAGCCCTAACTAGAACACAAAGGGCATTGTTAGCGATCATCCACCTCAGGTCTTTGTTTTAAGGCCCCAGAGGTGACAGCAGAGAAACAAAAGGACTGAACTGGTCTTGACTCCCATTTCCTGTGTGTTTTTTCTGCATTCCATTAACTACTGGTAGTTAACAATGGTATGCTTTCTTTGACCAAATTACATACATTTCTTTCCAACTTGTCAGATCTTCTCGGTGATATTGATTCTTTAGAATTAGGCCCATGGCAGTAAAATGAATTCCTGAAAGGGATGTACTTGGTATTTGCTTTTAAAAGACGGTACAGGTTTCCCCCACTATGTGAAAGTAGAGTGCTCCTAGGAAACCTTTTGTAAGTGAAATCCTGTAAAGCGAAGGCGCAATTATCATTTCCTAAAAGCCAGAATTCTCGTCAGATTTCTTTCAGTTATTGAAAACAGGTCACTAAGGTAGGTCTTTCATTAGAGGAAACTGGCATAAAGTGACCTTTCGGATAGTGGGGGAAACCTGCACTACGGAAGACTCCATATTTACTGTACCTTTAAGCATCCGAATCAATTTAATTAAATGCCATTAGAAGCACCAGGGCTGAAACAAACAAATATGAAAGCAACTGGTATGTCAGGAGGTATTTATTTCTGTATTAAACTGCAAATAACTCCCTCTTGGCCCTTAAGATTTCGTTTCAGTATTTAACTCTCCTCGCTTTTGCTGTAGAATTGTTGATGGAATTTGTTTTAATGAATCCTTACGAACACTTAACCTTAAAAAGAGATGGAAGCTTGTTTTATTACAGCAAAGGGAAGCTGAGGTTTCGCTGACATGCAAAATCTGGTTTGGGCTCCAGTCACACAGACTGTGGATACCCCACTTCCGTTTTTTCTATGTAATTAATACCTTTTATTGAAGTAAGAAGTGTGTATGCATAAACAACCACTAATTTGGAATCTCTTCTTTCTCTGCTTCATCTGTGATTACATTAATAGGTTTCGTCCACTTAAAAATGACTAGAAAACCAGCACAAATTGTGAGCAATCAGGTTTTTCGTAAGTGAGCCGTAGTATCTTAGCTGGTTACCTTTTTCAGAGGATGACAACACGTCTTGTTTTGACTTTCATCTGAAAAATAGCTTCCTGATGAAGAAGTCCCGTTAGTGAATGTGAGTAACAAGCTGTAAGTGTTCTAGTTTGAATGAGTGGATGAGCTTGGGTTGCTGAAAGCCCGAAGGATTTCCACTACACTTTCTTTCTGTCTCAAGTCACTCACAGCAAATTAGAATTGACAAGCTTTATGGACTGAGAGGCTTCAAGGACAGCTAACGCCAAAAACTTGTATTTGTTACTCCAGAATCAAATAGTCTCTGTGTGCCTGATGAGAAATCCTTGTCTAGAGGCCGAGAAAATCTCACCAGATTAAGGGGGTTCCGAAGCTTTCTTCCAATGACCACGTATCGACAGGCTAAGGGTGTCCTAGTACATATTTTGGGTACCAACGGAGATCTGTCTCGGCGCAAATCACAACTCCTCTCCATTTTCAAGGTTAATTATTTATTGAAGCTTTTGTCCAAGTCAGAGATGTCACTTAGCTTTAGAAAAGATTTGTTAACTCTGAATCCTAAGTGTAGAGGATAAAACCTCCAGAACACACTTTGGAAATGGACCTGTAAATGGGAACATCGCATTTAACGTATCATTAAATGGGCGTTCACAAACCCCATCACCCTCCGCCCATTGCTGTCTAGTCCCCAAAGGGCGCCCTCTTCCAGAGGTCGGAGACCACAGTGGGACTTAGGTGAAATTCCATTTCCTTCCCTCGCATCTCCTGAAGCACATGCCTGAGGTTTTAACCCCTTTCTCTCTCTCTCATCACCAGATCCTCTCAACAGCCCCTGAAATATTTACTCTGCGTCTCCATCATCTCTGTAAACCCGAGTATATACAGGGAGCAACCTCTCTCCCTCATCCTTCCTCTCCTCCCCGCTCCGCCAGGGTCTTTCTGTTCCTGTGCCTCACTTCTCTGATTCAGCGCGAGGGCCAGGGGGTTGGGAGCTCAGCTGGGAGACAGGACGCTCCCTGGCAGTTCGAGTTAGGGGGACGTAGGGAGGGCAGTAAATCTGTGAACACTCCCCTGTGGTTCCACATCATTCCATCTTACGAGACTGCTCCGCACACCTCCTGTCGCTGTGCCCTGCATCCCTCTCTCTTGCTGGGGCAGTGACTCTGGGCGCCAGTCTTCCCTGCCCAGGAATGTCCCCACAGGTGACCCATTCAGAAACCAGCCCTTCGGTTCTGGCAGTAGGCGGGGACTTCTGCACCCAGCTTTAAAAGAAATTGGAGCAAAGCTAATGGAAAACATGATGCGCTCTGCCTTCTCCCCTTTCTTCCTGGCTCTCCGAGGGATTTGCATTCGGGGAGGACAGGGCGCCTGGGCTGTGGGGGGCTGCTGGTGTTGTCTGAGCTGCAGGATGAAGGCAGCAGTAGGGATGAGGGAGGGTGCGGCACGTGCCCGGAGGGCTGGGAGGGAATGGGCGCCGATCTGGGCCAGATGTGGCAGGTAGAATGGTGCTGCAAATTATCTACAGGACTGCTTAAAGAGGAGGCAGTTTTATATACCTCACACTGAAATAGCAGCAGCTGAGGAAAACATTACCATTTAAAACGGAGCAGGCAAGCCGTAGGTCATTATTTAAGGACCCTTTTACCTCAACTAACACAGCCTTCAGCCCAGCGGTAAGCATGTCCCAAAAGACATATATCCCCACGGCAGAAGATGAAACTGATGAGGTTGCTCTAGGCTAAAATAAAAAATAAATAAATAAAACGTACCGTAAAATTCTGATAACCTTCATTTGTTAGAGGACAATAGAGTGTGAGAGCTACAGAGGCTAGCTACAAAGCCTGTGACATTATCTTTTTGTTTTCTGATAATTAATGCAGGCATCTTAAGTCCCTGGATCCAATGAGCATTTATTTGGCACCTCTGTGTTGTAGGCACTGTGCCAGGGACCAGGGCTTCAGAAATAAATAAGGCCCAACCCCGCTTCGCAGACTACGGTGGTCTTCAGTGTGGTCTCAAAGCAGTTTGTTCGTAGTGGGGGGGAAGAAATCCCGAGTAGCAATGCTAAAGATCCCCTAAACCTCGCAGGCGTGATTCTTTTAGCAATAGTGATTTAATGAGCATGTGCTGCCCGCTTCCTGTTTACCTAGCGCGAACGTGGGCAGGAGAAGTAAGACTCAACAGGAGGCAGCAGGAAAGGGGCTGTGCCAGGTCATGGAGCTGCCTGATCAGAGGTGTAGACGTGTGACATTGAATCACATTGCCGGTGGTTAGTGGGTAATCGGTATGATTGGGGCTCAGTGTGTGTGTGTGTATGCGGCCGCTCTCTGCTCTGAGGTTGGGACCTATTTTTGATCCTGTAGAAGTCAGCCTTGAGAACACCTCATCTGACATTCCCCAGTGGGATCAGACAGTTCAGGGCTTCGGAGGATTTAACACTTGAAAATGCATTCTGCATCCTTCCTGGGCAAGGCGCCTGTGCATAGAAACCCCAAGTCAGCTGTTCACTGCCACGTTCCTAAGTCACATCACCCCGGCGGCTTTTGAAAACAGAAACTTAGAACAATCCAGACAGAATCTCAGGGCCCGAGGCCCAGGCATTACTGTTTTTAAAACTCTCCAAGCTGATAGAGTATTTTTGCCCTTGATTTATGGAAAAGGAATCGAGGCAGAGCTCAACGGTAATTGTGATTCTGACATTGACTGGGGGAGAAGGGCTGACTCCTGGCAGCCTTCTCATCTCAGCCCTCTGTCCACAGAGAGACCCGAGGTGAAGGCAGTTGTCAGCCTTGACCCACAGCACTAGCTCGTCGCTGCACGCAGACCTAACACAGTCACATGGGGATCTGAGCCCAGTGTCCTGAGCACTTTCCAGAGTGAGAAGCTATGGGCCAAGTGTGTGTCACACTAACTTCATGTGGACCAGTGTGGAAGCCGCTTCGTCCCTGCATCTGAAATCTGTTCGTGGAAGTCTCTCCCGTAGCACAGTCTTGAAGATGTTTCCAGGATGGGCAAAAACATAAAATGCAGAGTGCTGTGCATTCAGAGACCTTCCAGTACTTAAGGGGAAGATGCGTCGGGACGAAACAGAGTGACCAGCAGGTGGAAATAGGGTGATGACCAAACGGTTTTGAGCCTGTGAAGAAGAACGTTACTTTCTCACGCACTCTGGACCATTGAACCTACCGATGTGGAGGGCAGTAGCTTTGGGGACTAATACAGTTTCACAAAGAAACAGGCTGGGAGCTTTAACACCGAAGCTGAAGTGGGTAGAAGGACAGTAAAAGGGGAAGATAAAATCAGATTATTCCTGGTGGCGATTTAAAGTTCAGTGACCTTGAACTCCTCTTCTCTTTTGGATTTCTATCTCTGTCTACTTGGAACAATTTAACAATCTCCAGTTTTAAGCTTAATGTGTTAAAAATGAAAGCCAATTTGAGGCGCAGATATCATATCACATTTTTGACAGCTTGGCTGGGACTTGAGCTGAAGGCACCACCTTCTGGGCCATCCTGCTGGAGGTGAACGATAGATTGTTAAAGGGGCCCCTGATCGCGCATATTAAGGATTAACGGCCCTGCCCCAGGTGCTGTGGCTATTCGTTCTGGTTTTCTTCCCTGAGGTTTCTTACCGGACCCCTAGAAGGCAAAGGGATGAAGTGAAGGGGACGGTGGCTGAGCACCTGATAGAATAAAATTCAGGAAAAAGCTTCTGGTCTACCGTGAGTTAAAATTTCAAGAAGAAAAAATAGTGATCAAAGAGGAAAATGATGTAAAAAAAGAAATGTGTGTTCAAGTTGTCTTTATTTATGGAAACCACTTTCAAGCCCTCCTGAGTGACACTGGGAAGTAAATGAATAATGAATTGATTGCAAGCTGGCTAGCTAACAAGTATGTACATGGCTAGTCGGATAAAAGGAATGTTAGCTTAGCAATAACTTCCCAAAGAAAATCCATCTTCATGTCTCTTCTTCTTTGGAAAGCAAAGCAGTTTTGTTTTGTTTTGTTTTCAGTTGAAGGCCAAAAAATTTCACACAGGAAAAGATGTGGAGGGTCATGAGACGTCTTCAGGGTAATTAATTATTCAACATAACTTATTGATTGATCTGTACCATCCTGTCTAGCCTCAGATGCACTGCTTTCCATAACACTGGGGAATTCCTACTGCAGAATTAAAACTGTGGGGTCCCTCCTGGGCATTGTTGAACGTAGTAGCAACATGGGATTTCCAGGTTTCGGTCTGCATCAGTGCATGAGAGGGAAGACGGCCATGAGCGGGAACCGGGTCGCCCCTCCTTGCTCCTGCTGGGGCTCAAGAAACTCTTCTCATCAAGAGCCTTCATTAGGTTTCCTCTTGGCCCTGTTCCCTAAGCTCCCCCTTCCCACCTCCATTAAAGTCTCTATGCCCACATGCATACAATCGAGGGCCATGTGCGGAGGTGTCAGACTGAGGCTGGCATTCTCGATGCCTCTAAACACGCTCTTCATCATCCTCAAGTATGTGCTGATCCCTTTACCCACAGACAGGTTACCCGCAAGGTCACCCTCTGCCATGCCTTTGTAGGCCAGGAATTGGGTCTTATGTGGGATTTGAAAGCTTTTTTTTGGTGCATCCTTACAAGGATTTCTTCCTTTGTAAGCAGTTTTATTTTTTTTTTAAAGATTTTATTTATTTATTTGAGAGAGGGAGAGAATGAGAGATAGCACGAGAGGGAAGAGGGTCAGAGGGAGAAGCAGACTCCCCGCTGAGCAGGGAGCCCGATGTGGGACTCGATCCCGGGACTCCAGGATCATGACCTGAGCCGAAGGCAGTCGCTTAACTGACTGAGCCACCCAGGCGCCCTGTAAGCAGTTTTAGTATTACATCCACTTTCGTGACATTTCCAGAGAGGTAAGTACTTACATGGTCCCGATGTAATCTAAGCATCATGGAATCTTAACTGCGAGCAAAACATTATCTCCGATCATCTACATAAGAGATGCTGACTAATTCATTGCTATCTCACCAAGTAAAACTAAACCCAACCTAGAGTCATGCCATGTTGATGTCTAGTGTCTCCTTTGGTCTTAGAACATATGAAATGTTAGCTGATGTTCTTACTGTGAAATACTTTGCCCGTAATGACGTATGGAGTATCATAACTTATACATGACAAAAGAAGCCGAAGTTTTTATTAAAACAGCCTTCCCTGAGCCATTACTTGGAACCCCAGAGCATATCTTCCAAACTGTGAGACAAACATAACATGATCCACTTCTGTTGGTCATGTTTAAGGATTTTTTGCAGTCAACAAAGCGTTACCTTCAAAAGAAAGGAATGCCTGTTTAAACAATTTTTCAAATTATTCCCAGATATGAATAATGGATGCACATACATTTTTTAAAAGATTGTACTTATTTGACAGAGAGAGAGAGCGGCAGGCAGAGGGAGAGGGAGAAGCAGACTCCCTGATGAGCTGGGAGCCCGATGTGGGGCTCGATCCCGGGACCCCGGGATCATGACCCGAGCTGAAGGCAGACGCTTAACCATCTGAGCCACCCAGGCGCCCCACATATACACTTTTGAAATGGTTCCAATCCTACGAATGCTTTTGTAAGACTCCTCCTTCCCCATCCTCGCCACCACCCTCAGAGGACTGAAGGGAAATGCACAGAACCCCCGTGGAGGCCTTTTCTCCTTCTGTCCTGACACCTACCCCTTAGCATGACACTCCCCCACCTTTCCCTGAGGAGGACTTATGCCTTACACCCCTCATCACCTCAGTCGAGACTCTTGAGTCATCTACGGTTACTGGACTCTTATCATTTAAAGGTTCGTAATACCCAGTAATCTGCCCCAATATCCCTCTTTTCTTCTACCTGCCTCCCTTTCGTCTCTCTCTTTAACCCACGGTCTGCTATCCCTACCCCCACCTCCCTGCTGCCCTCTCACGTGGTCGCTGTTTTATTTCCCATCCCCCTCCCCAGGAAGAACCCCGCGTCTGTCAAGTACTCTCACCCCAACAGCCTATGGCGCTTTTAGGATCTGCAGCCCACCAGCCAGTTTTCATTCTCCATCTCCTCCCCAACATCTTCCCTTTCCTCTCTGCCTGGCTTGGACTCCATGAGCTTCCGTGGCATTCCGCTGGCAGTCCCTGTGTCCTTCCAAGCTACCTCCTGATCACTCCCATCCAATTCCATCTAGTCCATACCTGCCACAGAGCAGCTGAACTTGGCTGGAGAAAAGCAACACGCTGACCTGTTGTCTCTTTTTAAATTCCTTGCCACCTGCCTCAAGTCGCCTCTCGGCACTCTGGCCACCAGACCCCTGCCTATGGTCACCTTGCCCCCCCCCAAGAACCGTTTCATACCTTCCCTTCTTCCTCTCTTCCGTCCCCCTCCTCCCTCCTCTTCCCTAAGCTCCAACTCTTCCTCACACTCAGCAGATGGCCTCACTTCTCACCCCACCTGGAGAACAAGCAAGAAGATACAAGAGAATGTCCTCACCCTCCTGCCGCCAAATCTCCCGTGTTCTTGCTATGGCTGTGGCCGCACAGCCCGGCTGTCTTCCCTCTTGTTCCATGGCCCACCAGCCCATTGTTCCAGAATCTTCTCGGCACTCCTCCGTGAAATTCCCTCCTGCAACTGCTTGCTTCCTCTGTGACCTCACCAGCAATTTGCTCCTCTCTGTTGAATCACTCCCAATGGTGAATGAAACGCTCAGAATCTCCCAGGTGATCTATGAAAACATCCCTTGGTCACTCAGCCTCTCCAAGCCCCATTTCTCCACTCTCCGTGATAATAAAACTTTGTCGAAGGTGGTCTGTGCTCGCTCTTCCCCTTCATCAACTCTCATTATCTTTGGAGCCCACCTGAGTTAGACATATGCCCGCCTGACCAAAGAAAGTACTTTTGTCCCCGTCATCATGGCTTCCATGTTCCCCAGGCTGGTGGTCAGTTCCTGGTCCTGCCGATCATCCAGTTGTCTCCTTCTCCTTTATGCATCTGCTTTCCTGGTCTTTTCTGACCTCGCACCCTCCTGGCCCTCCTTCCAGCTCTCTCTGTCCCTTCTCAGGCCCCTCTGAATCGTCTCTTCACACCCTCTAAATACTGGAGTATCCTGGGATTCACCTTGTGTCTCCTGCTTGCCTTTATTTGCATTCATGTTCCTGTCCGTTCTCCTTGTTCTAAATAACATCTCTATGCTGAACTCCAGAATGTTATCTCCAGCCCTGACATTGCTCCTGAAATCCCGATTCGCAGATTCTGCTTTATTCTGTAGCTTCTCTTTCATGTGCAGTGGGCATCTCTACCCAACTTGTCCCAAATGGCAGTATTGGTTTCACCACCTAAAGCTGCTTCTCTCCCAGTACTCCTTATCTCAGTAAATGGCACCTCCAGTCCCCTGTGGTTCACACCAGAAGCCCTGGGGTAAAGCTTGATTCCTCTTTCCTTCACCCAATAGCCAAGTCATCAGCAAATCCTCCAACACAGCTGCCAGATCTGCCCATTGCTCATCATCGGCCCCCATCCAAGCCAGGATTGTGTCTCCCTACTCCAGTGGAATAGCTTCTTACCTGGTATCCCTGGTTCTAGTCTACTCTCCCCAAACTGTTCTAGGCACTCAGAAGGCTTCTTGATTTCCTGGTGCCCCTTGATCACTCCTCAGCCACAGGGACTTCCAGGGCTCTCCTATGCGCCTAGGCCATGTCCACCTGCCTTCACATCTGCTCTTCCCTTGGCTTGGGAACTCCAGGCTGTGTCTTCAGTATCTGGGTCCTTGCTAACTGTTCCCAGAGCAACACACATTCCACTGCCACATCCCATAAACTAACAGCACCAGTATTCCCCACCTGAATTCCTCGATCCCCTCACCTTCCGGTACTTACAAGTATGCCACATTTCAGTATCACTATTTCTTTACTTGCTTAGTGTGTGACTTCAGCTGGCCTATTAACTGTCTAAGGCTCAGTAAAATGGGACACAAATAGCATCCAGCCCATGAGATTGTTGAGAAAATATTGCCTTGTAGTAAGTTCTCAATTAAGTGCTAGGTAATAGCTTTTAAAATAGCATACTTCCAACCTTGGCTTTATCCTACCAGCCAAACAGAACAGGAATCAGAATTAGAGAAACAAAGACACAAATACTGAAATGAGTATGAATTTTGTTCTTCATTAGCTTCCATCTATTTCTATCAGCAACGATTCTTTAAGAGAATGTGGAGTCCTTTACAAGTCTAAATATAACCAGAAAAAAGAGAAAAGCCAGCAGAGTTGAACTGGTTGCCTCTGTGAAGCAGGAATGGGAGGTGGGGGGGGGCAGGTGTCTGCTCTTCCTTGGGGTAGTGTCACTGCCATTTGACATATGACTTTGACACAAATAAACTTGAATTAAAAAGGAGAAAACACTGGAAGGAGTTACTGTGGCGTGTTAACAGGAGTTCTGGGGCGGGCTGGAACTATTGACAGTTTTTTTTTCTTCTTTATGTTTTCTAAATTCATGAAAGGATCCACAGTGTATTTCTTTGGTTTTTATAATGAAAAATGGTATATGTGCCTTTTTGCATATTTACTAAATATTACACAGCTTAATAGAGGGACACCTGGGTGGCTCAGTCGGTTAAGCGTCTGCCTTCAGCTCAGGTCATGATCCCAGGGTCCTGGGGTGGAGCCCCGCATCGAGCTCGCTGCTCATCAGGGGGTGTGCTTCTCCCTCTGCCTTTGACCCTCCCTCCTGCTCCTGCACTCACTCTCTCTCTCAAATGAATAAATAAAAAAAAAAATCTGTATAAAAAAGAAGGCTTAATGGAGGGTTAATTGGCAGGACACATTTTGAATAGACTCTAAAGTGAAAAATAAAGTTCCTGGATTAAACTAGAGAACATACCATACCCATCTGGGTGTGAATACACAGTGACGGTCTTGTCGAGAAGAGGTCCAGGCAGAGCCGGAACCAGGTAGGTAAAGAATAGACAGTTTCAGGGTCATCTCACATTCTGAGCATCGTATTTTCATTTAAATAAAGAGACCATTTATTCAACATCTGGAAAGGAAAGCCAGCCCTAAAAGCAGGCCCTCCCCATGGCAGGCTGTCTGGAAGGAGCGAGGTGGGTCTCAGTTCACGCTCCTCTCTGCTGACCTTGATGATTGAGCAGGGCTCTGTGATCTCTTTTGACAGACTGTAGAAATGCTTTGCAAAATCCAATGTTGGGAACTGCCAAACTTCAGGGGATGAAGAATCACTCAGCCTTCCCCACTTAATAGGAGCATGCTGTCTATTTCAGGACGGATGGTCACAGTATCACTTCGTAGCTTCATCGTCAACCATCGAGAGGGATCGGCAAAGGCCCTACTCCTCCTCCCGCACGCCCTCCATCTCCCCCGTGCGAGCGTCCCCCAACAACCGCTCAGGTAAGAGACGCCCGGAGCCAGTCTGGACACTTGCTAGAAATATCAACTGAGTCCGTTTCCTTTTCTAGCAGTGGTGACATCATGTTATGTTTACACAAACTCAGAACAAATCTAACGGACTTCTAAAAATCTGGAACAGTTATACACATGAAATGCATGTCACGGACCTGCTTTCAGTGAGCAAGAAGAATAAAGATAGCTGTCAGATGTGTGCAAATCAGGGTTTTCTGTGGACGTTTTTCCAACTTAAAATAGTTTGAGTTGCGTTGTATTGATTATAATTGGAATTACAGAGCAAGGGAGAAAGGGCATGCTGTTTCTTGCTTTAAAATGACATACATTTGAAATATCTCATTGAGGGTTTCATTACTCCTCCACATCTGATTAGCCGGTTATTATTACCTTGAAACCAGCTGATAAATCATTGATGAAGTCTTATCACAACCACCCGGAACTATTAAGTCACTCAGTTTAATTTCTTTTCTAATTTTGTCACGTTCCTATTGCTTAAATTTTCAACTAACTACTCTTATTTACTTGTAAAAATACTTCATTTTTATACCCTTTTCATCACATTATATAATGCCTAAGATTAAGGAAAAAATTAAAGACAAAATATTAGCACATCATTTAATATGTAAGTGGCATAGTCTTCATTGTTTTTATTCCAAGTGTAAGTTTAAAGACTGTTCTTTTGATTTCTGCATTTTGAGGTTTGTTGTGAGAGGAAGGATGGATAAATAATTATATAAAAACCCAGATAGTTGTGTGTATGTGTGCACACACACACACACACACGCACACACACCTCTCTAGGTTTTTATTTAAGAGGAGTTTCTACTTGCTCTTTGCTGCCCTCCATCTGCTGGGCAACTGGGTCTCAGAGGGCACGGTAGGAGAGTGCTCATCTGCCCTTGAGATCGTTGGCCGTCAAACTTTACACACTTTACTGTCAGAATGATGATGAAAATCAGACATGAATGGGGAACATTTGACTGAAATAAACGACTCTCTCCCAGCCCCATGAAAGCTTCTATTTCTAGTGTGGTGTGACTGCCTGTAATGTTCGGTCCTCCACTAGAGGAGAATCGGATGCCACCGTGGGACAGAGAAATGTCCACCTATGGAAGCAGAGGGGTGACCTTTCACGTGTCTTGCCTCCAGACATCTTAAAAAAAAAAGATAAGAATAGTGAGTCTGGGAAGCACAAGGATGGTGTCTTTTTAAAAGCCCTAATTATTGGGGCGCCTGGGTGGCTCAGTCATTAAGCGTCCGCCTTCGGCTCAGGTCATGATTGCAGGGTCCTGGGCTCGAGCCCCGCATCGGGCTCCCTGCTCGGCGGGAAGCCTGCTTCTCCCTCTCCCGCTCCCCCTGCTTGTGTTCCCTCTCTCGCTGTTTCTCTCTCTGTCAAAAAATAAATAAAATCTTTAAAAAAAAAAAAAAGCCCTAATTCTTGCGAACACATCGGTGTTAGAAGGATGAACTGACACAGTAAATCAGAAGGTGCCCGGAAGGAGAAGGGGCAGTGTGTGAAGAGCTACCCCAGCCTGCTATTTCCTCCTGAGGCACACCAAAGACACCTAGTGAACACTTGTTTGCGTGATTTGATTTTTTTCCAGGAGTATAATCTTAGTTTACCGGAGACTCGGACCACTGTGTATGAGGTCTTGAGAAATAATTACACACTTGACATAGTTTACTAAACCCCACCATCTGCACGCTGTTAGATGCTAATTTGGGGAGCTTTGGTCAAGAGGCTCCAAAATATTGTCCCTTCGTGGTTGCCTGGCAGTGACTTGTAAAAGGATAGCCTTTATGCAGGAGGACCTAGAGGCAAAGGAGCAAGGGCAGGGAAAGGACTCTCCCAGGAGAGGAAGACAGAAAACAGAAGAGAGGAGGGAGAGCCGTAGAGGGTGGAGGAGGTGAGCGAGAGCCAGTGGCCGATATTCTGAGGACACGTGAGAACTGGACACGCGTCCCAGCCCAGTGATGTGCAGCAAATGCCATTTTCTTCCCTGTCTTCCCAACAGACTTACACCCAGAGATTCTGATGCAACTGGTTCTGGGTGGGGCTCAAGTGTCAGTATTTTTGAAAGTATTCCGAGGATTTAATTCTAATGGGAAGCCAGGTTTGAGAACCTCTCAGGGTTTTGAGAGCCGGGCAACGAGCCTGGATTTTGTTTGGGTAGGTTTGAGAAATAGGTAGGCTGCCTCTCGGAAAAGGATGGGCAAAGGCCCCCTCTGTTTCTCTCGCCCGCATGTGGCTGCCACGTCCGTTAAGCCCTCTGCCCCTGATTCTGTTTATTTGCATGTCCATTTCCTGACCTCCATGAGTTCAGAAAGTGACATGATTCATGTTTCTGCTTCCCAGTGTCTAGCATAGGGATTTGCCCACAGGAGATACTAAACTTCATGACAGGGACCCAAAGAGAAGATGGGGCTCCCTCCCCAGGTCCGACAGGCAGCAAGCAGCCAGGGTGCCAGGTGTCAGTGAGAGATTGCTGGGGGTGTTCATCGAAGACATCTCACTGGGGATTGAGCTCTCTGTGCACCCTTCCCAGCCCACCCCCTGGGCTGATCTTTGCGGGTTGGGTGACTTCAGCCCCACAAAACATCCTGGGTGTTCATCTGGCTTCCTTTAGGACAGCTTCTGGGTCACTCAGCATTTAAGTAAGACTGCATTTATTTTAATCAGGGATTCTCCAAGATCAGTAACAGCTCCTCCGAAACACATCTAATTTTTAAAAAGGAACAAAGGAAAAAAGAGGGAAGGGAGGAAGGGGGAGAGAAAGGGAGGGAGGGGAAGGGAAAGAAAGAGAAGAGAAGAGAAAGAGAAATCAAGAAATCTCATTCTTAAAACTGTCTTGTGCACCTTTGGTGGGTCACGTCCCCATCAGGATGTCTTTCTAAGAAAGATGGCCCCGGGAAACAGTCTTTAATTACCAACCCCCAAGCTGAGTGCCCCCTTAACTACAAAGCACCAAATGACAGGGAGTAGAGGGAAGGTGTAAAGACGAGAGCCAAAAGAACAAAGAATCAGCAGGTCCATGCACACGTGTTGGTATATGTTGAGCCATGTGTCTTCATGACCTCAGCTGTTTGTATGAAAAGCTATCTGTGCTGTGGAATGAGACACAGAGAGTCTTCCTTTTGATTTCTTTATGTAGCAAGTGCCCCAGCTTCACCTCGGGAAATGATCAGCCTCAAAGAAAGGAAAACAGACTATGAATCCGCTGGCAACAGTGCCACTTACCACGGAACTAAAGGAGAACACACTTCCAGGAAAGACACCATGACAGGTAAGCACAGCTATGTGCCTTTTCTCCTCAGAGCTGGCGACGTGGTCCGGGACAGGGCCAAGGCCGGGCCATGAGACTCCAAGCCACGCTCAGCAGCTCAGCAGGACTTCGCAGCTAGCACGTCACTTGAGAGCTTGACAGCAAGGAGTCTCAGGAATTGGGGGCAAGGAGATTAAGCCAGAGGAATAAAAACTGAGTGTCTTATACCTGCAGTTAGCTAAGAGAAAATATTCTCTATGCACATTTTATTCTGCCTTTCACCTCTCACCTCCCGCTTTCCTTCTTGCTGGCCCAGCTCATAATATTCCCTCAAATTAGAGGAGTCACGATAGATTTCTTCTTAGCTGGCATAATCTGGAGTGGAGAGGACTCAAGATGGTGGGTGCGCCATAGCCAAGCTTTGCCATCACGAACAGAAGGAAGGGGACATGGATAAGAAAAGAAGGGGAAGAGAGGGGGAGGCAACAAAGGAAGGATTTCAGGGAAACCCACGGAACTCCTGCTGAGACATTTTCTCTTCTTGACATGAAACGCATCTTTTATCATGACAGACTCCTAAGGAGATTCATTAGAACTAATAATCACAATTTCTCTATGGATGCATTGATGTTTTATCCCCTCCGTCCCTCGCTACCCCAATCATACCCCTTGTCTCTCCCTTCTCATCAACTGGGACTTCAGCAAGGCCAAAATCGGTGCCCATCGCCACCCATCCAACGTGCGCTGCCCAGCCTTTCTAATAACCAGCCTTGCCCTTAACTCCCTTCTGTTCTCTACAACTCTCCTTGCTCCCGTTCATCATCCCTTCCTGGCTCTCCATAGACTTTCCGCTGCCCTGGTTTTTCCCTTCCTCCAAGAAGCAGGACTTGGGGGCATTGGTGTAGAAGAGGTTATGCCTTGAAAGCTGAGCTGCCAGAGCCAACAGGATCTCTAATAGGGATTCCACTGCCTTCTCTGCCACGTGGAAGTGCATATGGGTCCCTCATGAAAACAGGCCGTGAGGAATAGGGTTTTAACAGAACATAGCCAATCATGAAACTGGGGTGTGAAGGCCATAATCCTAAACAGACGCTGAGACCTTCTTATCAAGAGGATCTTAAAAGTGTGAGTTTCTCAGCTATTACTTAGGTGTAGACCTGTAGGGAAGCAGAATAGACAAATTGGATGATTTATTAAGATGTCTACCAAACCCAGGCCATTTAAGATAAATTTTTCTAAGGTAAATGCATTTACCCCCGAGGCAGTGTTTTCCATGGTAACTCAGCATTGACTGCAAGAGAGAAAAGCACAATAAACAGACATTCCTGACACACACCCTCGGGGTCAGCACTCTGCCCTCCACATACACACCTACCAGGGAATGTCTCACGCCTGCACTCATTACACAGGACATACCTTATTATTCTTAGTCACTGCTTTCCTGCCTTAAATGTTGCCCCTGTTGTAGACAAGCACGAACAGAGGAAGCTATGAATCTGAATGTCGAGTCCCGAGAGTCAACGCATTCAGCAGAGAATCTAATTTGTACCAGTTACTCTGGAGTAGTGACACCCCGTTCCCCTGGCCCATTCATTTTACAACTATGATTGCCCTAGGTAGCCACATCACTGGCACTCTGGGATGACCAGTTGAGATTATAATTACAAGAACAAATCTGAAGTTGACTGCATTGTTATTTAACTTTTCTCTCTTGCCCGGTAGAATCACTGAAAAGGCTTTTGAATGTATGTGTGTTTCTGCTGAAATAGTTCCAATGGTACATAATCTTTCCCGCACACATAGTAAAAGAAAAAAATAAAATCTAACATGTTTCTAGATGTTTCATGACAGGGATCTTGATAATTCCACTCTTGAGATATATGTCATTTTTTAAACTTATGTAAGAGGCTTAAACATCTTTGCTCTGACTTACTTCAAAAAGCAATTCAAAAAAAAAAAAGCAACTCAAAACTACACTATCGATCATCTGGCAAGCCTGAAAGAACATTGAACATATACAGGAAGGTTCCCTTTAAGCCAACGAGCACTGTATAAAAGTTAGTTGCATTATCTACAGTGTTGGTGGTAGAGATGGTGGTAGTGGTGGTGGAGGTGAAGGTGGTAGTGATGGTAGTGGTGGAGGTGATTTAGTGGAGACAGTGGTGGTGTTGGTGGTGGTGGAGGTAGTGAAGTTTGGAGTGATGGAAGTAGAGGTAGAATGGTGGAGGTGATGGTGGAGGTAGAGGTGGTGATGGTGGAGGAAGTGATGGAGGAGGTGGTGATGGAGAAGGTTATGGAGGAGGTGGTGATGGTGGAGGTGGTGATGGAGGAGGTGGTGATGGTGGAGTTGGAGGAGGTGATGTGAAAGTAGAAGTGGTGATGGTGGAGGAGGTGATGGTGGAGATGGTGATGGAGCAGATGGTGATGATGATGGAGGAGATGGTGAAGATGCTGATGGTAGAGGTAGAGTTGGTGATGGTGAAAGAGGTGATGGTGGAGGTGGTGATGGAGGAGGTGGTGATGGTGATGGAAGAGGTAGTGATGGCGGGGGAGGTGATGGAGGACGTGGTGATGGAGGAGGTGGTAATGGAGAAGTTGGAGGTGGTATTGGTGGAGGCGGTGATTGCGGAGGTGGTGATGGAGCAGGTGGTGAAGGTGGAGGTAGAGGTGGTGATGGAGGAGGTGTCTACTTACCACTTTTCACAGTGGCATGCATAAGTCCCCAGCTAACCCGGGTGGAAGCCCACGTCTTACACAGGCATGGAAAGGATGAGTGGCCAGCTCGGGCTCTAGAGCACTTTTGCACATGCCTATCATTTCAGTGTTGACCTGCAGATCAGATTTCCTGTGACCTCCACATCAAGAGCAGTCCTTGTTCTCATTCACAAATGCCCAGGGGACCCTTCCAGGATAGTACATTGAAAAATATCTGAAAACTGCCATCTCCCTTGTTTCTAAGACATCAGAGGATGTCCTACCATCTCCCCCAAAGAAAACACTCCCTCTGCTGTGGGAAAGCCATGGGAAGCTTGAGCCTCAAAACACAACGTGGGACAGCTTAAAGGGAAAGCAGGTCCTTGCCTGGGTTTGAGTCTCCTCTACTGAGCCCTTAGAAATGCAGATCCATCTAGGTTTGTGTGCCAGGCTCCCCCCACCCATCTTTTCTGGATTCATCATCTAGCTGAGATGGAGTCTTTTTTAAAATTTCTTCTCCCCTGGTGTTCTCTTGCCACTGTGGAGCCCTCCGAAAGCCAGAACCAGGCGTTCATGCAGGCGTGCAGGCCAGTGAGAGCGATTTCTTGCAGTCATGATTCCCCGGGAACATTATGTGGTCAGAAACACACATCAGAGGAGGGCTGTGTGATCTCAGCAGCTACACGGCCTGACTTTAAAATTTACCCAGGGGATTTTGCCCTCCCATCTGAGCTTCCCAGATGCCTTTACATCAAACGATCAAGCCCGTTTTTGTCAGCCTCTCTTATGCCTTTTTAAAGCCATTCTCATCTTCCATGTGTTGATTCCGTGGGAAATGGGGGCCAATACAAAAAGACGAAAAGGCATTTCCTTATGAGTATCCTCTTAGGTCAGATGTACAAGGGCAGAGCATTCACGAAGACACCTGTTTCATGTGTCTATGAAAGCCACAAGCTCAATCTCAGCTACACAGCCTCTTTTAAACAGGCAAAGTGGACCAAAGAGCAGGAGGAAAGAACTTCCAGTAGGAGCATCTTTAGCTCAGAAGCCACCAAAGAGACAGGGAAGAGGAGCATAAGGCTCTAACAGCCCATGTTCCAACAAATAAAAAATGCATTTTGTTCCAAGTAACAGGAAAATGAAAACCACAAAATTTCACCCCGCAGTGACATTTTTAATCAGCAAATCGTAACTCTGAGGGCATATATTCTCAGGGTTACTCTTCACTCATTCCCTCAGCAAATAAAGCACTGACTCTGTGAGCATCCGCCACTGTCCCAGACGCCCACATACCGGCGAAGGTGGCAGGACAGACCGATTTCTGGCGTCATGGCACTTCTGCCGTCGTAGGTGAAGGGAGGGGTCGCGCAAGGTAAACAGTAGAACGGGCTCACCCCCAAGGTAGTACCGCGTGGGGTTGCGTAGGATGGAGAAGATAAAGGGGCTCAGGAGACGCAGGGTACCAGGTGGGCGGGGCTGCTTTCAGGTGATCAAGCAAGAGACTGAACACCGACAGGGAGAGGCAGTCCAGAGTCCGGGGGACATGAGTTCCAGAGAGAAGGATCAGCAAGCACAACATCCCAGAAGTAAGACCAGCTGCACGCTCCGGCGAGGAAGGAGGGCCAGCGTGGCTAGCTGCAGAAAAATCAGTCAGGGCCCCGATCCTGCAATGACATAATCCAGGCTGTCTAGCAAGATGGCTCAGCTCCTGGGAATGGCGAGGGTGGAGGAGCAGGGTCGGTAGGGTGGAAGCTGGGCTGTCAAGGAAGATTCTATAGCAGGGGTCCAGGCGAAAATACAGACGGGAGCAACGCACACCCAACCAGAGAAGATGTCAGGGTGGCCTTTAAAATTCAGAATGGGCACTCAGCTCTCACTTTCTTAAGCACAGTTTTCCAAGAGGACTTTTCCTGCACAGCTGTTAGGTGCTTTAATTAATAGTCAGTATGTGCCCTCTTTAATACCCATCACCAGACTAACGCATCCCCCCACCCCCCTCCCCTCTAGAACCCTCAGTTTGTTTCTCAGAGTCCATCATCTCTCATGGT